AAGAACTTCAGGCTCTCACAGAAGCTCATACTTGGGATATGGTTGTTCTTCCCTCTAACAAAATTGTTGTTGGCTGTAAATGGGTTTACAAAATCAAAACTCATTTTGATGGTTCAGTAGAATGACATAAAGCTTGTCTAGTTGCAAAAGGCTTCACCCAATAATATGGCGTTGACTATAAGGAAACATTTGCCCCTGTTGCTCGACTTACTTCTATCTGTAACCTATTGGCTGTTGCAGCAGCTCGTAAATGGGAATTATTTCTATGCCTTTCTCAATGGTGATCTCACTGAAGAAGTATATATGAAACCTCCTCCAAGATATGACCATTCTCTACATCAAGTCTGTAAACTCCATCGAGCACTGTATGGTCTTAAACAAGCTCCAAGAGCTTGGTTTGCAAGATTTAATTCTACAATTGGAGATTTTGGATTTACCTTAAGCTCATATGATTCTAGCCTTTTTATCCGCAAGACTGACTCTGGTATTACTTTTATCTTATTTTATGTTTGTTGATGCGTAAATCCTCACGACTCAGAACGACGGCGTTTACCTGCAAAACAAAGGGACGTCACTTCGAATGGCACCGGTGGGGTGCCAGCCAAGGACCCTCTGACGATCAAGTTAGTTTTTGTAATCGTATCACATAATAACTATGTATCTTTTATTTAGGAGTTTTTTCTCATCCCTTTATTACCCGGTAGGATTTCCTTCTTATAATCGCTCTCCCTCGGTTTATTTGCAGGATCAGAGGAAATCTGTATATGCAAGATTGTAAGAGATCTATTTGTTGCCATATTTGTAGGGATATGGTTTAACCCTTTTGACTTCCTTGTGCTAGGATTATCCTTACCCTGTTGAACCACGTCGTCTTTTATTATCCTGGATAAGAAATATCATCATTCTTATCCAGTGAAATCATTATATTTGATAACGAAATATTATCGCTCAAAATTAAAAGGGGTCTGGTCAACATTTAGTTGCCTTTTATCGTTAGGTCAAGGTAGGTCTATTTTTCCCTATCAGTTGTCCCTCATTCCCAAGCTTGCTTGTCTAGCTTTGGGAATGTAATATATATATATATATATATATATATATATATATATATATATATATATATATATTTCTTTTTGCCCTGGAACAGTACCCCGCGAGTATTATTCCTGCGGGTACTGTTCATGTGAACAGTAGAAGATTATTTTATTTTATTTATTTATTTATTTTTGCCCTGGAACAGTACCGCGCGGGTACTGTTCATATAAACAGAAGAAGACTTTTTTTTTTTTTTTTTTCTTGCCCTGGAACAGTACCCTGCGGGTATTGTTCATATGAACAATAGAGTCTTTTTTTTTTTTCTTTTGCCCTAGGAACAATACCCTGCGGGTATTATTCCCACGGGTACTGTTCATGTGAACAGTAGAAGAATTTTTTATTTTTCCTGGGAACTCTTCCCTCGAGTACTATTTTTAGTACCTTTGAGCAATCTCCTCGCGAGTAATATTTTTAGTACTTTTGGGTACTCTGCCCCTGGGTACTATTTTTGATACCCTTAGGTACTTTGCCCCTGGGTTTTTTTTTTTGGTACCCGTGGGTACTCTTCCTTTGGTAAGGGAATAAATCGGTTAGGTCGTCACTCCTTTAATAAGGGAATTAAATTTTACGAGCTTTACTCAGCTCATCCCCTTTAGTAAGGAATTTTTATTTACTATCCCTTATAGTACGGGGATATTAATTACGGGATTCATTCAGCCCTGATCCTTGTAGTGCAGGACATTTATTTACTATCCCTTATAGTACGGGGATATTGATTGCGGGATTCATTCAACCCGAGTTCTTTTAGTACAGGACATTTCTTTACTATCCCTTATAGTACGGGGATATTGATTACGGGATTCATTCAGCCCGTCCCTTTAGCAAGAGAATAAATTTTATGAGTTTCACTCAGCTCGTCCCTTTAGTAAGGGAATTAGGTTTTACGAGCTTAACTCAGCTCGTCCCTTTAGTACGAGCTTAACTCAGCTCGTCCCTTTAGTAAGGGAATTAATTACCACATAGGTATAACACGTGAGAGGGAGGATCATTTTTTGACCTGACCTTTGTAGGTTAAGTCTTGATCTCTGATGACCATACTTTCGTCAGTTAGGCCCTGGTCTTGGTCTCTGATGACCAGACTTGGGGTGACCGGGCACTGATTTTGAATAACCGAGCCTTTGTAGACTTTGGGTAATCAATTCTTAATCTTGGTTGACTAGGCCTTGGTTTTGGATAACCAAGCCTTGATTTATGATAACCAAGGGTTGTACCTTTCTCGGTGTGTAGAGACTTACCTGGTAATGGTTTCGGAAGATCGAGCACCGGTCTTAGATGACTAGTGCCCCCGAGGGGTCGCTAAAGGAAAAAGACTGAAAACCCGACTAGCTCGATACACCAAGGTATGTTAATTTTCTAAACCTTGTCATCATATGTAGATCAACTATTGATATCGTGTGATCCACTATTCTATCCCCGATGCTGGGATCTTGGGTGATGACCCATTCTATGGACGTTTATACAACAGAGGGGGTGTCTGGTGCTGCAACAATTTACAGTTGTCTAAAAATATTAAATTGTGTTAGAAAGAATTATTGAAAATTAACCTGCAATGGATTGTCAATCCAAAATTCTGCATAATCTGAAGTCGACAGGCAATTCCTGCAAGGGAAGAGAGGTGACGACTGTCGTCTGGTAGGTGGAGGCTTAGTGTCCAGCAACTAGCTTGATGTTTGGTGGATAGGGGCGTGGTATCCAACGGCTGACAGATGACGATCTGGTGGCCAGTACCAGATGATGGTCTGGTGGCCAGTACCTCGTTGGGTCCAATGATCGCCCTTAACTTAGGAACCTCCTTGGGAATACAGACCTCATGGGATTTTGAGGGACATTGAACTTCTTGGACCTGAAGGCCTCGATACATTCTTGGGTGTAGAAGGCCACCCTGATTGCACGAACGGACGGAGTAATGAGACTCCGTTGCTAGAGACATCCTTAGTAGTAAAGGCTTTACTAGTAGGTAGAGACCCCCTTGTTGGTGATGATCTTCTTGATGGGTAGAGACCTACCCATTTATGTAGGTACAGAAGGACCAGGTCTTAGTCTTCAACGGTCAGGCCTTGGTAATTGGCTGCTGTCCGATACGAGATGGAGTCTGGTCTTACACGACCAAACCTCAGTAGTGAGGGGACCAAGCATCGCTAGATGGAAAACACCATATTAGACGGCCTGGGTCGACGTGCCAAATTTTGATTATTGTCATCATACACTGGGTGGCATCACGCAACCCACTGTTTTGCCCCCAGTATGATGGACGGGTAATCAGGATGTAGAGTCCCGTCCTTATTTAAGAACATGGAAACTCGTTGTCAACTGAAGACTTTGGGATAATTTCCATGATCGGAAACTTTCGTCTTGTCGTCCAAGCCAAGTCGCGTCAGGATAATTATTTCTTCAGAGAACTAATCGTTCCCACAGACTGCGCCAGCTGTTGATGCGTAAATCCTCACGACTCGGAACGACGGTGTTTACCTGTAAAACAGAGAGACGTCACTTCGAATGGCACCGGTGGGGTGCCAACCAAGGACCCTCCGATGATCAAGTTAGTACTTGTAATCGTATTACATAATAACTATGTATCTTTTGTTTATGAGGTTTTTCTCATCCTTTTATTGCCCGGTAGGATTTCCTTCTTATAGTCGCTCTCCCTCAGTTTATTTGCGGGATCAGAGGAAATTCGCCTGTGCAAAATCATAAAAGATCTGTTCGTTGCCATATTTGTAGGGATATGATTTAACCCTTTTGACTTCCTTGTGCTAGGATTATCCTTACCCTATTGAATCACGTCGTCTTTCATTATCCTGGATAAGAAATATCATCATTCTTATCCAGTGAAATCGTTATATTTGATAACGAAATATTATCGCTCAAAATTAGAAGAGGTCTGGTCAACATTTAGTTGCCTTTTATCGTTAGGTCAAGGTAGGTCTATTTTTCCATATCAATGTTGATGACATGATAATCACTGGCAATGATCTTGCAAGGTATCTCTGCACTCAAAAAATTTCTCAGTCATCAGTTTGAAATGAAAGATCTTGGGCACCTCCACTATTTCCTGGGCTTGGAGATTCTTTCTGATTCGGATGGCTATTATCTCTCCCAAGTGAAGTATTCTTCTGACATTCTTGCTTGTGCTGATATCACTAATTGCAAGACAGCTCTTACTCCACTTGAGACTAATGTTAAGCTCACTCCTCTAGATGGTACACTCCTCAGTGATGCCACATTGTATCGACAATTGGTTTGCAGTCTGGTATATCTCACTGTTACTCGACCTGACATCTCTTATGATGTGCATCTTGTCAGTTACTTCATTTCTGCTCCTCGATCTACTCATTATACTGCTGTACTACGCATTCTTCGATACATTAAAGGGACTATGTTTCATAGCCTTCACTTTTCTACTCATTCTTTACTTGAGCTGCGTGCCTACTCTGATGCTGATTGGGCAGGTGATCTAACTGACCGGCGTTCTATTACTGGCTTCTGCTTCTTTCTTGGTAACTCTCTTATTTCTTGGCGTAGTAAAAAGCAATCTGTCGTTTCCAGGTCTAGTACAGAAGCTGAATACCGTGCCCTTGCTGATTTCATACAAGAACTTATTTGGCTTCGATGGCTCCTAATAGATATGGGTGTTTCTCATTCTAGTGGCACTATTCTCTATTGTGATAATCAGAGTGCTATTTACATTACTCATAATGATGTCTTTTATGAACGTACTAAACACATTGAAATTGATTGTCATATTGTGCGTCAACAAGTTACTCGGGGAACCATACGCCTTCATTCTGTAACTTCCGCTGATCAAACTGCTGACATCTTTACCAAAGCTCATCTGCCAGGTAGATTTTGGGAATTAGTTTCTAAACTCAAATTGGTTTTTGTTTTACCACCTTGAGTTTGAGGGGGATGTTAATATAAAGATTCTGTTTATCTTATTATAACCGTTGTATACTGATTCTTGTCGTGATTCTTAACGTGATTATATCTTAATCACAATTGTATAGCTGTTGCACAATAGCCTATAAATAGGCTCTTTGTATATGCTCCAAACATAATTCAATATACATCAATTATGCATCTTTCTCATATTGCATCTTTGTCTCTCCAACTCTGTTAATCAACACATATAAATATACACACACAGGGCGGCGACGAGCGGCAGCAACGACAGCGAGTCGCCTCTCCTCCACCGTCGGCGTCATCGACTCCTCCCGTCCCGACGGAACCCTAATAGAATTGAGTGATACTGCGACGGCGGCGGGTACGTTCAAGGTTAATTTTTCTGCAAAGATTGCTACCAGTGAGGTGATGAATTTGGGTATGGAAGATATCGGGTTTTCTGGATTTGTTTTGATCTGGGTTTTGCAAAGGAGGGTAATTTTTGGTAGCTGTAGGTGATAGATGGCTTGTAGTGAGAATTTTTTTTTTTTTTTTTTTGGTCTCTGCAAGGAAGGCTTCGGTGGCGACTGTTATTCTTGAGTTAGATGGGGTGCTCAGATCAGGAGGGTAATTTGGTTATTAATTATTTTGATATTTTATAATTAAAATTAATAAAATAGTGAAGGTAATGTTGACTTTTTACATATTTTAAGACCCTACTGTTAGTGTACTTTACCCTAGTTATACATGGGTATCTCCGTGGGATCTATAATTTAGGAACCTATAATCTAATTCACAAATTTATTACAATAATTAACACTCAAAAACCGACATAATTACAAATGCATACCACTAATAGTTGCACTCAACTTCCCAACATGCAGACCAGGTTGCTTCATCACCTCACCTTTACAACGGCGGTGGAGCACCGGAGAAAAACCATTTCCGAGAATTGTGGTCGCTGGCGTCCGTTTGTACGAGCCGAACCATTTGGCCATCATGTAGCCGTTTCTCCTCCATGGTGGCACGTGCATGTCTCTCTGCGTCAAGGACTCTCTCATGGCTGCACACATCAGCCTCACCACACGTTTAAGCTCCTCTTCTTTGCAAACAAGAACTCGAGGGATGGCCTCCAGTAGTGATTCGTAGTGATTGGTTGGCCGAGCAATTGTGAATTCGGAAATGGTTGATAACTCGACAATGTAGCGATCTCCTGTAGCACTTCCATTGATGATGTCTATGTATTCATATTCGCCGGCGGGGTGCAGAGAGGTTTTCTCCCACCTAGACTTGCAGAGACCTGAAATTAGGGTTTTGGGATATGTTAACGTTTGTGTTCCATTAAGTCAATTATATATATATATATATATATATATGTTTTAAGATAATTTGGGAACAATTTATTTTTTATTTTTTGAATTATTGACAACTGTTTCAAAGTTCAAACCAAACAGATTCTTAATTAGTAAGAATTTTTAAGAATTATTTTCTCAAAACTCTTAAAAAATAGTTCTGTTATTAAAGAAATGTCTTTTACAATTTTTTTAAAATAATTTTTTAATTTTTGAGTTATAAATAACTGTTTTGGAGTGTCAAACTATGCGAAGTCTAAGCTACCCACCGAGTTTCTTTTCGTTTCACAATTAGTTGGCCTTCAGCAATGAGTCCTTCGTTGTTGTAAAAAAAAAAAAAACATTTGACTTTTTATTTAAGGGTGAATATAAAATCATAAAAAAAAAAAAAAAAAAAAAAAAATTTGATAGGTACCATGTACTAAGTTACTAACTACTACTTAATTTGATGAGTCTAATTTCAATCCACCGTCGTCTTTGTGATAAGATCATGAGTTTAAATGACATCATTAAATTCTTTTGACAATGCATTCATATCATTACTAGTCTACATGCATACACATAGATATATATATAATCTTATTTTAGATTTATGAAATATAATTTTTCATAGAATATTTATCTACATGGAGTACATAATTTATACCTGCATCCAGACCTCTTTGGCGCAACAAGCTCATAACTCGACGCTTAAATCCCTCCGACGAACCACTCCCCACGCTCCGCCACGCAATCTCCGTCTCCGTCCGAATCCTCTGCTGGACACAGCCATCTCCGTCCCCTGCGCCGCCACCGCTGATCAAACCCATCAATATTTCCTTGGTCTCCGAATTGCTCTTCCACTCGGAACCACCTCTCTCTTCCTCTAATGTCTTCTTCTCCATCCTCTCCACCTCTTCAACCCTCTCGTCTCTCTCTCTCTCCAAGAACGAGTCCACTAGCTCGGAGAGGTCCGCCGACAAGCTCTCCGCCGCCGAGTGCTCGCTTCCGCTGTTCTCGCACAGCCGAACGCGAGCCACGCCGTCGAAAACGCCCCATATTCCCTTTAATCTCACCGGAAACACCTTGGCCATCCTTGATAGGAAAATTCAAACTAGCAGAGTTTCTCTCTATGTATGTTCTCTCTCTATATATATAAAAATTTATATTACGGAGTATAATTTATAGAATTATAGGTGTAATTTTATCTGATGGTTTTGGCTCAATCAGTGTGCTGAACAAATTGATGGTTGTCTAATATGCAGACAAGCGTGAGTAAAGGATTGGCCACGCGTCATTTCCTCCTTTTATTTATTATAAAAATATAAAATACAAAACAAAACAGAGAAGACGACAAACTGAGGCCGATATGATGCTGTCACGACTTGAGTCCGGGACCCGAGTGGGCCCACCGCTTGATTCCATCGGAACTGTAGAAATGCATTTGTCGTGTCACTGATTAGATAAAATCATAAAAGGATAAGGATAGAATTGTTAAAATGCGTCCCTTCAATTAGGTTTTTTTTTTTTTTTTTAATCAGAAAATTTTAATTTAATACTACCTCCGTCCCACATTGAAGTCCATATTTAGAAATTGAAGTTTTTAAGGCGACATGTAATTAATGTATTGTCCGCTTTTAAAATTACTAAATTATCCTTTTTAATTTAAATATATATAGTTACAAAGTTTGAAATTTTTTTAACAAGATAAAAGATAATAATGGAAATATAATGAAAAGATATTTTGACTTTTCAAAAAGGACAACTAATTTGGGATATATAAAAAGAGAAAAATAGACTACTAATTAGGGACGAAAGGAGTAGTAATTTTTAAATTTGGTACACAAAGCTGTAAGACAAATTTTGAATACATAAAATAAATTACTCTCATAAATTATACATATATATAATTTAAGCGCACATTTTTTGAGTCCATAATTCATTCTTAGATATGTTTTATTAACTAGAGTTTTAGCTAAATTGCTGTGCGAACGAAACAATGCAAGTTTAAATTCGATTTCTAGACTAGTTTAGTAAACGAGTAGATTCTGAAGAGTGTTGAGCTAGACTCATGTAAGTTTGTACAGACTTGTACATGTTCGTGAATGTAAGCTCATATAGACTCGTATATGTTCGTGAATGTAAGCTTATATAGACTCGAGCAGATTCATGAACATATTCATAAATATAAAATTGTATATAATTCATGAATGCAAGTTTATAAACATGTTAATGAATGTAGGCTTTCTTAAGCTCGTATACAATTATGAGCTAGCCAATTAAAACGATCGTGAATAGGTTCACGGGGGCAATTGCCCCCCACTGAATATATAGAAGGTCTGTCCCTGATCGTGAACACAAGTTTAAATTGACTTTGAATAAATTTTATTATTAAATGAGCCAAGTCAAAGTTGAGCTCGTTCGTTAAGTAACCTTGAACTTGATTTATAGGCTAAACAAGCCGATCATAAACACCATTGAGCTTAACTCGTGTGAGATCATGAACATATGTTTGTGTAGACTTATATATGTTCATGAACGTAAACTCATATAAGGAATATATAAGTTCATGAATATGTTGATAAACACAAACTTTTAAGTTCATGAATGTATAAACATGTTAATGTTCACATGCTCATGTAATTGTATACATTTATGAACAATCCAAAATTGACACGTTGTGATTTTTGCTTTTAAACTAGTTAAACCCTAGTCAAGCCACGACTTGACTTCTTAAACTCTTTTCGATCTTGAGTTAAGTTTACAAATGAACTAGTGGAACCCGAATAAATTCAAGCTTGACTCATTTTATTTTAAGTCCTATAATAAATTGAGTTTGAATAAGTCATATGCATAAAATAAATATTTAAGTCGATAATATTTTATGATTTATTTTTCTATTTTTTAAAATTTTCAAATGCTTGCTTTACAATGACGTGGATGGAAACGGAGAGAAGACCCATGCAGTGCACTTGCTGGCACGTGACGGTCAAGCTCCCCTTTGTCTTTTGTCTAGTAGAGCCGGAATCTTCCGATGGTCAACACTGACATTTTTTTTTTTTTTTTTTTTTTTTTTTCTCTCTCTCTCTCGAAATTTTAAGCAACTGACATTAATCAGAAAATAATTACAAAGATGGATTATTTAGCCAAATACAACCCCAAAAGAAAAACAAGTCTAAAAGCGCCCAAACATGAGGAAAAAACTAATAATCATAATTAATGGCTAATTAGTTAGTCCATTTCTTTCTCCTTTTTTTTCTTTTTTTAATCCAACAATTTTTATTTTTATTTTTCTTCAACACGAGACACCATGCATACGACATAATGTTTGTCATTTGCAAATTAATCGAGTTATGATTTTTAGTAATGAAATACTCCGTAAGAAAAAGTAAAGTAGAGAAACTCAAATAAATTTCAAAAGTTGTATTTGATTTTCTGACCAAACAATAAGATAAATTAAAATAACTAAATATTCTTTGTTGTACAATTGATACATAATCAAAGCTACAAATCCGCAATACTCTTTATTGAAAGGGACCACCAACTCCAAGGTCATTCTGTAATTTTTATTACTTCTCTAGTTGAGTTCATTAAATTATTGTCCTCGGGATGGTCATAAAAAAGAACTCTAAAAAATTATTACATGTCAACAAAAAGCTTAATAAAACTTGCATCACTTGGACAACTCGAATTTGAGTTTCATTACTCTTGGATTAGTATCTTGTGTTGTATACTAAATTTTGGAATATGTGGTGATATAATTATCGGATTTGAATCCCATTATTGAGAGATATAACTATCTTGGCGTGTATGCTAAATTTTGGTTTTTGAGATTTTGAGATGCATTTATAGGAGTTCTTGGTCTATACAGAACCAATCTGGCATATAAAAACCCATATTATCAAATTATTTAAAATTAAGAACAATGATACTCCTGATAAGAGAGGACAGATCATTGTTTGAGAAGGTTGAGAGTTTTTTCTTGTTAAGATAGAAATAAATAAATTAATAAAATAACTAGTGTCCAAACTCCAAATCAGAGTCTCCATTCCCTTTGGGGAGTGTTAAATTCAATGATAACCACATCAATTAGTAAGAAAAATTGTGTATTCATCTATTCGATTGGAAAAAAAGTAAATAATAAAAAAAATCTAGAAACATCTTTTCCTTGTGTGGTCCCCTGTGCTTAAAAATCTTAATTAGCTAGTATTATATGAGATGATTTTTAGTGCAACTAATCCTATGAACCAACAAGAGTTTCAAAAGCAACAAATTCCTGAGCAAAGTCCACCACCAACAAATTAGGATCGAGTCTACAGAGGTTAAAGCTAAATAGATCGCTCTCCTCTCCTGAGAAGAGTTATTAGAAGAGAGATAATTCAAGTTGAGGAAAAGGGAAGTTGATAGAATTAGATCTTAAACTGAGTGACCATCAAAAGTTGTTGCCAACTACAATGATGATTCATCGAAAACCGAAGTTTCCCCTTTCGATGCAAAGGGTTTAGAAAGCTCCATCTCCTTGCGGAGTAATAGAATCTTGAGGTGAGGGTGAATTAGGGTTTTTTCTCATTACAAGTACAAATTACATTTTAAAGGAGGAGAAAGGAAGTACGACATATGAGTACATTCACGCACCATGTCACATATAAGGCAAATAAATTGTGGATCTAAATCTAGATGACAGTAATTGACATACCAAGAACCCCCCCAAATATATATATATATCTTTAGCAAAACAAAGGGGACACAATGTTTTCCCAAGCTACAAGAGACTACTATAACATTGCAAATTAAGTGGTCTTCTAAAGGTGATGCCTTTGCACTTGCCAAATTGGCTGGCAAATCTGCTACCTTGCTGTTCCTTATTCCCAGGATGCACCCTAGAGAGAGAGAGAGAGAAGAGAGAGAGGGTATAATGTTGGTGTAGCTAGGAGCCTAGGTCCAACATCTCCAATTATGGCCACGTGAAAATGGTGGCCAATCAACCAGGGCCTTTGATGAATAATGTAATGTAACATTTCAAAGAAAAAGCCTTGGATTAATTCAGACCAACAACTTTATACTAACCAACTGGTCCTGTAGTGTGCAGCACATGCCACCCTATTAAGTATTGTACTTAGACAACAACCCTTGCTAATCTCTATTTAGATGGATGATTATGACCATCCATCTAGTTACCATTTACTAAATTTCTACACTATCCAATCAATACTGTCCACAAGAATGACAAAATTGGATGATTTCAGGGTATTTAACATAGTTGAGTGATTGTTGGCATCATATGTCCAATTCCATCATTATGTGGGCATCAACCAACCAAATTCATCTATACATTCAAGTCATTGTCCATATAGGACCAGCTTATTGATCAAACTCACCCATTTGAAATTTGATGATGGTTGTGACTTGTGATCAGATGTAACCATCACTTGGTTTAGGGATTCCAGAATTGGTTGAGCAGCAAATTAAGGTGAGTGATAAGATTTCTGCTCATTCGCACTTTTGTACATTCACAATAATGGTCTGCTGCCCATGTCAACTAGGTTTGGATTAGGCACCACTATGTTCCCCAAATGGTCCCTTCAAAAAAATTGAAGTGAACCAAAGTGTAGCAGAGCCTGTTAGGGGAAGGACAAAAGCAGTAACTTCAAAGGAATAGACCATAGCCCCAATAGCAAGCAAACTTTATCAACACAGTCTGGTGCAAGCCATGTGCAAAAAGTGATAAAAACTATGTACATCTCTACACTCTAATCCTTCCTTTCTATCTACTCTTCACTTTACAGTTTTTATTTTTGATTTAAAGGGTCCATATCCAGCTCTAAAGCTCTGCAAATCCTCCAGATCTTATGCTTAATTCTATCTAACATGTGTTTCTTCTAATTAAAAACTACATTAATCTACTCTTTTAGCTTTATATAGTATAAAGCGAGTTGAGCTTATTTTACTGATCACTACAGTTGAGTGAAGTAAATCACTGTCAGTTCTGCACTTTTCTGCAAATCTCTTGTTTATAGAGGAAGCATCGCAACTTCTAAATGGTTTTCAATATAATCAGAGCCAACCCAATTGAAAATTCTGCTTTGATTTTGCTCGGTTGATCAGATGGGCATCACTGGTGAGCTGGTTAGGAATGTTTTCTCCAAAAGCAGGTCTATCGGAACTCATGAGAGCATTGTGAGTCGGTTTTATTGTACTCATCAAATTTTAATGTTTGCTTCTGTTCCTTGTTCTCACTTCACATGCTCAATTAATTCTTCCCATACTTTGATCTCCGTACATTTTTTTGTAACCTGTTTTAATCAGGTGAGAAGCAGTTCAGTGGAGAAAAGAAGATGGAGCTCGGTGAGGTTGTACTTGTGTGGGGATGAATTCAATTCAGTTCTTGCAGAGGAGGATTCAGCTTCTGTTAGGAGCTCAGAGCCAACCATCACACAACCGACGCCAGAGAGCTCCGAGACTAGTATTAGACAATCTATGACAACCGTTCAAGAACCTACTACACTAGAGAGCTCTGAATCCAGTGTCACACAACCTGTACTAGAGGACTTGACTGATAAAGGATATGTCCAAAACGAAGAGACAAAGGGAAAATTGCGAGGCGAAAAACACAACTCAACTGCTGAACTGTTTCGCGAAGAAGATGCAGCAACTGTCATCCAGTCAGCATTTAGAGACTTTCTGGTCAATTTCTATCTGCTAGAAATAAATCTTTTTTAATAATAAATTAAACATCTTTGAGGAAATACTAGTTTGTTTAAGTTTAAGCACATAATTTCATATGGGTGATATACATGTATCAAATCTATGTTTGGAATTTATCCAACACAAGTGTCAATGTGTGTTACAATTTATATGTAGAATTTACACCTTACAGCTATTTGAGTGCTTGAATTTCAGGCGAGACGTCGAAAAAAAGGCCATGGACTCAAATTGATGGATGCCGGGCAGGAGCTTGTTGTGGGAACATGGAGTCCAAGTTGGGAGTCAGTGGGTACATCCATTGAAGTTCAAACTGGAAATTCAGTGGAAGTCTTCTCAATTGCAGAGGAAAGCATGACCCTACACCATCGAGTGCAACAGAAAGCTAGAACTGAAGTTTTGAAGCTCAAGGTAAAAAAAATGGGAGAGAAGTTTTGGTGATTTAGTTGTTGGATGTTCATGATGATGCCCAACAAACTGAATCACATCATAAGATGAGTTTAAGCTCTTGCCCTGACAAAATTCAAGACCTCAAACCGTAACTCATAATTCAACAATGTAGGATGAGAGTAGACCACACATAGAAAATCTAATATCCTTACATAGCTATAAAGACTAAAATTTAGGAGTACAAGGACTCTCCCATAATTGAATTGAACCTATGGTTCTGCCGGATGCTAACAAATTGTGTTATTTTCATGTGGAGATGCAAGTGAGCGGATATATACCACATATAGTTAAATAGCTCGAACTTCAATAACGTCCATCCTTGATTTTTATGTGAAACCTTGGGTAATCATTTATTTAATCAATTTAACTTGGAGACCAAATGGACACAATTAACAATCAGTTAGCAGCACCTAAAATTTTGTACCAAAAAAGTAGAAATAGGAACATTTTGAACTATAGTTATTCAATTCATATTTATATGTCTGAACACATGATCATTGCAGGAAGATTGGGATGATAGCACAGTGAGCAGCAATATCTCAAAAATGAGGATTCAGAACAGACTGGAAGCAACAACCAGGCGTGAGAGAGCACTCGCTTATGCTTTCTCGCAACAGGTACAACAGATTGAAATTTTCTCATCTAAAATGAGATGAGGGAAGTAGAAACCGATACTAAAATTCTTGTGCTTTATTCGATTGGTTTATAGCTAAGGGTGTGTTCAAAGAAGAAACAAACCACATCCAGTGGCAGAGAACCTAACATGGGTTGGAGCTGGCTAGAACGGTGGATGGCTACCCGCTTCCCAGAGAGTTCCTCCATTGAAAACCATACTGGCAAGAAGCTTGAGCCAATCAATGGCAAGTTCAGCAACCAAAGATCAGTGGTGAGGAAGAGATTTCTTGATGAGGCAGGGGAAGAAAAGGAGAGCTGTGGATCTAATGAGGTATCTGTCCAATTTGACAGCATTTCGGTATCTACACCAAAACAGAAATATGACACTAAGCCTGCTAGGAATAGGCTTAAGACAACAAGAGCTGTGTCGAGACGGAAAACTGCACCAAGCTACCACTACCCAAAACAGCATTCCAAGGTATAACTTCTTCAATACTTCAAGCACTCTCTATTATTAACTAAAGCTTTTACAGAAGACGGTAATCAACATGGTATCAGAGTAGGGTAGAACACGTGTTGGACTAAAAACAAGTGGGTTACACCCTCTCTAACAGTTTGAATTTATAGAGTAGAAACACTTCAATCATGATGATTTAGGCTCTTGTTCACCCAATTTGACAACTTCATGTGTCATAATGTTGTGTAGTTGATTTGGTAAAAGCAAGAGACATGTTCTCTTTTACCTTATTGGTGTTCAACTTATATTTGAAAAAAAAAAAAAAAAAAAAATGTGTACTAAATTAAGCAACTAAGAACTTGGATGAACATTGAATCAACCAAACTAGGCAAATCTGGTTTTGGAATACTTCACCTAGTCACCAAATGCAGCACTGCTACTTCTTTTATATGTAATTCAGTCTATTTTGACCACATTTTCCATTTTGGTGTAGGCAAGCAAGAAAGATTGTCCAAGGGAGGATGAAAAAGACATAAAACAAAAACAAAATGAGTCAGGAGGTAAGAAAGAGATCCAAGTGTAGAGGCTCGACATCTCAAATCATCTCCTAGCATGGCACCGTGATCAGCAACAATTCTGGATTGGGTTTTTTAAAATTCTATTTATTTTCTAAGAGTGTAGTGTCTTCCAAATATGTCATTGAATTCTACTTGTACATGTTATGAGTTATGACTCAAAGTTGTTATCTCAGTTAATAAACTTCTACATCCTCAATTAGAATCATTAAACAAATATGCCAAATTGCTAGGTTACTTGTTCATTAGCTCAACTTTCATTGTGAAATACCAAAAATATCACGAAAATTCTTTGATAAAAAATATATTGACCTAAAGTAGAGTTGTGTTAGAGATATATTTTTAATGTTCTGCAAATTAAGAATGCAATAAAGAAACACGATTAAAAAATAGTAAACTATCTCTGCACAAAGAATACAAAAATTTACAGAAAGCCTACGGTGAAGTTCTTAGAAGATTTTGTTATTGGTATTTGCAAAATTGAAAATTATAAGTTTCAATTCCTTCCTATTAAAACTAGATGCATGACTGAGAGCAATGACTCTGTAATGTTCATGATATATATATATATATATATATATGTGTGTGTATTAATGGTAAAAGATATTTTTATAAAGGCCATGGGACCTACTAAATTCTTTTAACCTTATATAATGACCACAAGTCATCTCTTCCTCGCGCAATACACTAGGGCCTTCCCATTTTCTTATTTTCTTTTTCATTTCTCTACATTTTAAGCCTAGATCAACACCGTATCCTTGTGAATTTGATTTTGCCGCCTAAAGCAAAGTTGACGAGCGCGTCGAGGCCGACATTTTGATCAGAGTAAAGTGTCTTTTGGCCACCATTTGGGATTTCCAATTTTGGGCTATTTTGGGGCTTTTCATCTATTTTGAGGTCGGGGTGTTTTAATTCACGAATTTTTTGATTCTTTGTGAATTTTTCGTCTCTAAAGTTGGTTATAAACATGCTTATTAGTTTTAGTTAATTGAATGTGATAGTTGTGTTTATGATGATAAATGATGTGGTGTGTTAATTGAGCCTATGGACTTGATTAATTTAGTTGTGATGAAAAGCATGCTCAATATAAATATGTTGTATGTTAAATGTTTACCAATTGCTATATAAATTTGAGATGTATTAGTTGTGGAAATAATGTTTAGAATTTTTTTTAAAACATGGATATGATTTTGATTGAATATGTAAAATTTAATTGTTGGGTTAGTATGTGAAAGCATGAAGCATTCATGCATCCATTGGGAAGGAAAAGGGAAAAAGTGTTTTTTTTTTCTAAAAAAAAAAAAAAATGAAATCGTTTTTGGAAAAAAAAAAAATGAAATTGTTTTTGGAAAAAGTTTTTGAAAAGTGTTTGTGAAAACCCGGAAGCCTAGGAAGCGCCTAGTGGTCCGTGGTGTTAGTGTGGTCTAGAGAGGGGATTAGGGAGAGACCCTAGTGTGGTTGAGCTAACTAGGCTGGATGTAACGCCTTGGCGGTGCTTTATGGTCATAGATGGTTAGCCAATCTTCTTTTTTGTGACGCCTTGGAGGTGCCTTGGGTCAGATTACACTAATGGTTTGACAGTTGAAACGGTATGGTTTCAGAAACGGAGAGTGACATTGCATGGCATGGCATATCATTGGCATATGTGGTGCATTTGGTAGTTGGTTAAGATATGTATATTTGTCGATGATACAGTGATTTTACTTGACTCCTAAGATATGATCCCATTCTTTTGTTTTCTATTCTCTATGTGGATTCACCGGGTCATAAGAAGTGTGTCTTAAACATTTCCTACTGAGCGTTTAGTTCACCCCATTATTTTTAACATTTTTCAGGACACAGAAAACAAGTGGCGGATGACGATCCACCACAATTTTAGACGAGCTTGGAGATCTATTTTATTTTGCTATTTTTTTTTTGTATTAGAACTTTAATATTTTGTAAATGTAATCTTAACTATTTTGTGAAATTTTAGTTTAATTGGTACAATGTTGTAAGTTATGGACTTTTAAATTTTAGCTACATTTTATGGACTGTAACTTGATGTAACTAAAGTGTATTCCTTGTTTGGATGAGATGGAGGAAGGGGAATTTTTATATGTATGTAATCATTTTGGGAATGTGATATAATATTTATATTGTGCGTTGGGACGGGATAAATTAGTTTTAAGGTCCAGTGAGGCCATTATATTTTTGATATATTTCAACAGGTTGTAGGGGGACTTTTTCTGTGGAGGTCATGACGAAATTTTTATATATTTTATTATTATTAGTATTTTGGTATCTTTTGGGTCGTTATAGAGTCAATTTATTTATTTATTTTTTCCAAACTCTTACAAAAAAAACATATTTTTCAAGTCAAAACTTAATTGCAACGCGATCTAAACTGAAACAAAATTCAAACAACAATATTACATTTGAACAACATTTACTTTAAATTAACTTCAAATGGTTGGCCTAATTGAAAAAGACTTGAACCCCAGTGTCTCATGAAGTATCAGATCTTAAGATCGATTCCTTCTAGGCACAATCAACTCTTTAAAGGCTACGTTCGTGGATATAATTCGAGCCTTACCCAATTCGTGCGGAAGAAATGCCTTAAAAAAAAACTCTGGACGGCCCGATTACCCAAAAATAAAATAAAACATTTGCTTTCAATCATGACAGAAATTCAGCCAGTATGATGTGTGCGTGTCTATTAAAGTGATTGCTTTCTTAAAAGATTTGATTCTTTCACTGTTGCACCATTTTGAACCTCCAAAGAAACATGAATAACAGCATAGAGTAGCTTTGATGGCCTAACGCAAAACATTATTAAGCATATTAATGGAAAGGCATGCCAAAGAGAGATTCCTTTTAAGTAAAAATGTACTGTAATCATAGAGTCAAACAAATGTGAATTTAGATCCCTTATTGTGATACAATCATGGACGTGGATAGTTTGCAAGCTACCTGTGGTGCATTTATAGAGATAAAAGTGGACATAGATAATTCTTTTGATCCTTTCATGACCAATAGTAATTTGCTAACCCCACTTCCAAATTAATAAATACCACACTATCAACTTACTTTTTTTTTTTAAGGCACGTCCAGGGGACAGATCTAGGAATTTATATGAGGAGAAATTATATAAAGAGATTTTTTCATAATTTCAGTAGGGGTAATTTCAAAATTTTATAAGTATAAATACAAAAAAAATATAAATTTAAGAATATAAAATACAATAATAAAAAAATTCAGTGGGAGCGGATGCCCCCACTGAACCCTTAACAGATCCGTCCCTGCACACCCACATACCTCATTTCAATTTTCTTAAACTAAACTTTTAGTTATAATCATAGTTAATAAAAACGCAAATAACATTTGTATTTTTGGATTAAATCATACGATAAACGGTTTAATAATTTTTACTATATGTTCATAAATTATTATATATATATTTTTTAAAAAGTTTTCCTTACCTTTTTATCATCCTATTAGAATACATAATAAATTTTTAGTGTTGAAATTGTAGTTTCATAATATATCTCATGATTACAAGTACTACCACCATTTGAGATAATTTATTTAGGATATTTATTAAATGTTGTAATGAATTGAATTTGATTATGTTATTATGCATACTTTATTAAAACTGGATGTTAATATTTGAGATATAAAATAGAAGATCTATTTTTTCAGGAAATGAAAGATAGGATGCATAAACAAATAAATTTTACATTGTTGATTTGAAACTTTGAACAACATGAAACTTACTATAAAAGATAATGTATTATTTTATGTTCATAAAACATAATCAAAATTTCATTCCTTTAAACTTGAAATTAGTATAACGTGACAGCATGTGCAACTGAATCTGGTTGGAAAGTCAGGTTATTATGGAAAGTAATTTTCTTTTACAATTTTTCTTTTTTATTTAACCAAAATTTTTAATTATTTAGAAAATTTTTAATTCCTTTCTTTTCTTACTACTTTCATCTAAAGGAAGTACAAAAGATTATATATATACAATTTATACTAGTGTAGTGTATAAAAAGGAAACTTGAACAATTTGTCTCGTACTAATACCTGGTGAGGGTATTTGTAAACTTAATAGCAGGAAACTTGCAAGGTAACACTTCCTAATAGATAACAATAATATAGATATATAAAGCAAATACCACTTAAAACACATGTCATTACAAATTAAACTAGAAATATTAGTATTTTAGAATACAAAAAGATTCGAAAATTATCATTAAATCATATATATAAATATATGTAATGGTGATCAATTATTATTATTATTATTTTTGTTGGTAAATTAATTTTTTATTTTTAAATCTCATTCTCAAAAAGAGTCTAATTTCAAATATGGCCTTTCCAATTCCTATATTTATTGTCACAGCACCATATTATAATTGGAAAATAATGTGTCAGTTTGACATCGACTATGAAAAAGAAACATTGCCCAGTTCATTAACACACCTCCCATCTAGAGAATCTCTTGTAACGTTTCATGTTTTTAACACCTACGGGTATATCATATTTCTATGTCCGTATATGTATATATGCAACAAAAACAAACAAAAACTGGTTTTGTGGCCTATGATTCACCACTCTATTAAATATAATATTAAAAAACGTTTTGTTACCCCCAAACAAATCTCAATTTCTGAATTAAGCAATTTGATACAAACCCAATCTCATCAAGGTTTAGCCGCAACCCTTTAAAACAAAAATCTTTTCCATCTAAACAGTACCTGGCCATATACTCTCGCACCTATTACCCAGACAATCATCACCATCATCACATACTTTGTGTTCAAATCCTAGTACATCTAGGCTCTCTCTATAGCCCAAGTCTTTCTTGATTTGGATTTGCCATTGTTTTTATATATTGAAGCTTCGTCATCCATCTGGGTCTGAGAGCCAATCGGTATGAGGAAGAGAGAGAGAGAAAACCCTTGTGGAATTTGTGGGCACTACCACAAGTACGAAGAAGGAGAGGTTTGTGGTATCTGCGGACACCGGATGTCCGTCGTGTCTGAGAAATCCTCGATTCAGGTTAGCGCTTTCCCATCGGAGATCTTGCCGGAGTTTTTATATCTCGGAAGCTATGACAATGCGTCGCGGTCGGAACTTCTCAAAACCCAGGGGATTTCTCGTGTTCTCAATGTAAGTTTTTGTCTTTCTTGGTTTATGTTTATTCAATCAATCGATCAATAGCATACTAATTTTATTTATTCGTTTTACTATGTATTCCATCTATGATATCTGTAATTGTTATGATATCTTGATGACTGTGTTAGTTTACATGAAAATCTTATGAAATTATAGGGGTTACTTGATTGGCTTGAGGTTTTGGACTTCTGTCTTGGACATTGAGATTTATGATTTGCTATTTGGATCTTTTTAGTATCTGTTCCATAGTTTTAGTTGGTATGAATTATGTGGGTTTTGGTTTATTGAATTTGAGGCTTGGGATAGAAACCAATTTGTTCATCGTACAAATTTTATGGCCAATGAACAAAGAGTATGTTAATGTCTCTTAACCTTTATAGACATTTAACTGTAGATTGTGCCAGTATCTAGAATGTAAAATTTTGAGAATAGGACCAGGCTATGCGAGTGGTGATGAATGATGAGGTTTGTGAAATTTCTTGAAACAAAGTTTGTTGACCTATCCCAAAGCAATTCCTCTTATTTAAAAAACAGGGTTCGATTGTCCTGTTGTTCATCTTCTATCTCTTAACCTCTCTCTCCCTCACTCACTTTGTCTTTCATTCATGGCTCTCGTTCCTCTCTCTCTCTCTCTCTTCCAGCCGTTGCTCTCTCACCCCCTCTATTTCTTCATATACTTAAATCTCTAGCTCTCTTATCTCAATGCATAGATCTCACTTCGAATAAATACACAAATATATCCCTTCTTTAAAAAAAAAAAAAAAAAAAATGAAGTATAATTTGATACTAGAAAATATGCTCAATTATAATAAAATTAAATGGAATGAAGTTAACAAAGGGGGAATTCCATATATTTAGAAGTAGGGAACCCTTCTAACTATCAAAGTGAAACTTCTCTTATTCTTCCTTTATGCTGTGTAGAGAATTCGGGTGTCCAATTTGAGTATGTAACACGTGTGCATTGAGTGGAATAGGAGAGTCCATGTAACACAGTTTACATTAGAGAACTTCTTATCAAGACTAAACGACTGCAGATTTCTTTGGAGAGATCTAATGTAATGTGCCTTTGGATAGGTTAGATTTGTAAGTAAAGGACTGCAGGTTCTTCTGGATACAAGTAATGATTAATCTAATGTATCTATGGAGAATACAGATAGAATTTAGTGCGTGCAAAGCACTTCGGAGTGTAAATAATAGCTCAATAGGTGAAGAAATTTGAACTTATGACTAAAAAACATTGAGCACATGATTGGAGTGTTGAATCGGGTACAAATCAAAAGGCCTGTATTGAATAGAATGTACTGTGAGTTGTACGTAGCAGAATATTTAGAAAGTTTTGTATTTTGAGAAATAGATCTTGTGTCTTTCCAACTTTACTTATTTTAGCAATTAATTACATGCAGATAAAATAAAACAAAGTAAAAAGTTAGAGATGACACCAGGATTTTTAGCGAGGAAACCCCAGTTGATAAAATACGTCAACTGTTTGCGCGGGAAAAACCTCGTGGACTGTGCAGTCCAAAGTAAACCGATTCACTATGTTTGAAACAAAGTACACTGAAGTTTAACTCTGACTCACACCCTATCGTTCTACCAAACAGCAATAGCTAACAGTCCTCTGGCTTTGCGACGTCTCATCCAACAGCAACTTGACCTCAGACTTATGCTTGATCTTTGTAGAAGCGTAGCAGGTAGATCAAACAACACTCCTCGAATGCTTTGACCTTTTCAAAGTGTGATCGCTTTTACTTTTGTTCGTCAATATCTAAATTCGATGTAGAAATAGATATGCTTTTCTCTGATCAATGTAGATGCAACTGTATGATCACTGTCAGGATTTAGACAACACAACTCTAAACTCACTATGTGGTTATGTGTGTGTTCTAGAAAGATGACAAAGAAATCTCTTGGATTTTCTGCAAAAATAATCTTCCTAATGCTTTTATGAATAATGAAGTTGTAATGCTAAAGCCATTCATAAACCTAGATGTGTAGCGGGGTTTATATAGAGTTTTCAAAGTCCTATTCCTTCTAAAAATAAAGGAAATTTCGTGCATAGGACTTTTGGTAAACTTCTAAACCAAATAGGAAGTTCAAAACTGATTAGGACAAAGTTTTCTAAATTTGAAACAGCAGTGGTACCGGTAGAAGGTGGTTGAACTGGTTCCCATTGGGCAGTATTGAATTTTCGAATCTCAACTTCTTGAACCGGTTCGCAACTATGGTACCGGTTCGCAACTTTGGTACTGGTTCCCAGATGACAGAATCCAATTTGAACTTGGATTTTCTATATTTGGTTACTTTGGAAAATATACCTTGTAGGTATTTGTGTCCTAAGTGGGAAATGACTTCCTAAAAGTTGTTCTTTCCTTTTTCGATGATCAACAGTATTCTTCCTCTGAACAATTTTCCAAATTCCGCAGTCGTCATCGATTCGGATATGGTAATTGAAATTACAACTTGGACTTGTTTTGCTATCGAAATTTGCCAATTTACAAAAATATATCTCACATGTACTACTGGCCAAACTGTGGAACTATGGTTGGGTAGCTTAAACGTAAGCTAAGGAACTATTAAGCATTGGTAAAGAGGAAGGTTGTATATTTGGACTTCCTCTTTGTATGAAGCATTCACCTTTTGTGGTTTGAGTTTGGCTGTAATTTTGGCGGTTGTTGGATGAAGCACCCTTTATGTCCAGTCTCGATAACCTCTTTGGACATGCGACAAAATGGGCTGGCAGTTATCTCCATCTATTGGATCATATTTTTTGGTAAGTGGCATGATCCTAGCCACTTGCTCCACTTCGTGCCACTTCCATAAATTCAAGGCTGTTTATAACTGGTCAACAACCATCTTTGATCTGATTCCTATAAGATTGAATTTATGTATTGTCCATTAGAAATTCCAAACTTCTATCTTAGGCTCAAGTCTTAACCCCTTTTATCTTATCAGAAATTATCTAAGTGGGGAATCCTTGGTATTTACCATATGTAGTTCTCCTACAATCTCACATGGGAGTTCCCCAACCATTTTGGTCAGCTTTCTCTGTGCAAATTTCAAATAATTTGTGTGGGGATGAGAGAAGCCTTCAAATTTCAATCGTTAGGAATGTGATGTGGTTTTTCTTCAGATGGAGATTTTGATGGCGAAGTATATGCTTGTTGTCTATAAAAAATAGATCCCTTTTAGATAATGGTCATGCCATTTTGGAAAGATTTAGATGACATATGGAGATACAACAGCGAAGTAGGGGGTTTTCTGTTCAGCTGAATAGTATTGAATGAGTGAACTTAACTCATATGTTGTTTTGGAAGATGTCAATATATCATCACTTATCAAAAAACAAAAGATGTCAATATATCATGCAGGCTTAAGGAGTAATTGTGAGGTTTCTATTAGATGGTGTGGGGCCATTGTTTTCTCGCTTATGTATCCTTTGAATGTTTGGTTTAATCTTGAGATTGGGTGACTTGGGTGTAGATAGTATGATAGAGGCTATGGTCGTTTGGTGTCTATTTCTAGAACTTGTTAATTTAGGAATGGGAACCTCTTGGTGTCAACGGATGAGAACATAAAGTTTAGAATAGAAAATTGCAAAATTGGGTGTTGTTTTGGTGTGCTCATATAGTTACTCTCACCCAGTGGGGGGAGAAAGACCAATCTCTTTGGAAGATCAAGAATTTAATCATTTTAGATTAGGATTTAGAAGCTGATTATCACTAATGAATGTTTGGGCAAAGTCCTGTTGGGGTACATGGTTTGCTATACATCCCAGTCCATTGTTGGCTTTATTGATTTATCTTTGCTTTTTCTTTTTCACATTACATTGGATTATTGTTGTCCAGAATCTTGTACCTAAGTTGACCTCATTTAGCCTTGATATTATAGTATAACTAAAGGGTTTCCTTAGGCAGGTGATTGTTTATGATTTTAAAGAATTGTTATGAATTATTATTACCATTTCTTTCATACTATAAGTCACAGAGTACTGTCTGGTTATGCAAATTCAAGATTTGTGTAATTTGGTATAGTTGGTGTAGTTTATGATTGTTATTTTGCATGAGCAGTGATATTTATAAATGACCTTTTCATGGAAGCAAAAATTAGGAAAGAAACATCTCTAGAAAAGAAAGATAATATATGTTAATCATGATGATCTTAATCATGCCTTAATCCTATATGAATGGGTCTGCCACATGAATGAAGAGAGAAAAGAAAGGATTTGATTCTAAAGCGTTTCCAATTCCATCAATCCAAACGAAGCCTTAGTATTTATTTATTTATTTTTGTAACGCGTTTCTCCAAGTTTCTAATTTTATTATTAAATTTTCATTTAGAAGTGTCCAATAGCACTACGTCATCGGCAAAAAACATGCACAATGGAATGTCCTCCTTGCAAATCTTTTGTGTTCTCATTTAGAATTATTGTGATTAAATATGGACTAACTGCCGATCCTGTGTACAATCCTACTTTTATAGAAAAATCTCTAGTCTCACCGCATGTGGTGTGACTCCTAGTTTTGATAGTTAGATACATATCATGAATAATTATTTTTTCAGGAATTTGTTTTCTTTGTAAAGCCCACCAAATTATATCTCTCAGCACCCTATCGTATGCTTTTTCTAGATCTATAAAAATCATATGTCGATCATTTTGCTTACTTCTTCATTGCCCAATCTAGGAATGCCCGCTTGAATAGAAGTAAGCAAATAAATCCAAGATATATATTTTTTACCAATTGACAGATAAATTCAATATTATATTTTCTATGAACCTCTTTATCAATTTTTTAGTGCTTGTTACTTTAGTGGCTTCCATAAGGTTCTGCTAGATTTCTTTAGTAATTGATTGACTAACTTGTTATTGTTGTTATCGTGTTCATTGCTCCCTCTCTCTCTAGTTTCTGTTGAATATATACTGTCATCAACTTTATGTAGCTTGTAATTGGTCTTCAATCTTACTATATTACTTTTCTGTAATGTGAAACAATGACTTAATTGGTCCAGATTAGTGAAAATCTAACATATTCTTGGATTTGTCTATTTTGTATGTTTGCAGACAGTTCCTTCCTGTCAAAATCTCTACAAGAACTCTTTCACTTATCATTGCCTCCAAGATGACAAAACTTTACAGTTTGATGATGGTATCCAATTTATAGGTTTGTTTATTTGCTTTCTATTTATGAAGTTCATTTGTTAGCTTATGTGCTTCTTCTGAGCTAGTCCACTTGTTCATACTTTTACAATTATTCATATCATTTATACTAGTCAAGGTTATGGTTGTATACTGTTTTTGTGCTTATAGGATTATTATAATTTATAAAGCTGTTCTATAATTATTGTATGGTGATTTTTGATCCATATATGTTTTTAGTTTTAAAATGTACCCTGAGATGACTTTTGGAGCAAAATGCAATTCTATTGCTCATGTTTCCTGAAGGATACAATTCATTAGTGACAAAATCACATGGAAGGTCTCAAAATATTACTCTTGAAGTAAGTTTAGATCTTGCTTGAAAATTTGAAAATAAAATATAGAGGCGTTAGATTTCTTATCTTATTCCTTCTCAGTTAATATATAGTTATAATAGTAAGTAATTAGAATTGTTAAAGGAAGAAGATAATTGTTGTGGTTCATCTGGCTAATACAGTATGAATTTGTTTTTCAAAGTTTACCTCGTTATCTTTTCATATATGGGTTTTAGATTAGGGTTTTCCGAGAGTAATTAGGTCGGAAGTAAGATTGTGTGAGTGAACCTTGGCATCAAGAAAGATGAATTGAATACTAATATTATTTTATCAAGTTCTTAGAATTGTTAAAGGAACAAGAGAATAGTCATGGTTCCATTTGGCTGTGATTCATCATGAAATCTTTTTCAGGGTCTTACCTTTACTTTTTCTATATGGGTTTTCATTTTGGAGTTTATGAGAGTAATTAGGCTTTGAGGAAAGATTTAATTGCACCGTGGCATCAGCAAGAGTGACAAATTGAAGACTTGCTGTTGTTATATCAAAAAACTTCTTAATTGTTTGTCGAACTCCTGTGCTGACTGCTGAGAAGTTTTCTTTTCATCACTGATATATCACTTCTGAATGCTTTTATAATCACAATTTAAAAATATATATATGCAAAAGCTGGTGGCTTGAGTATATGCCTTTTTAAACACATCCTTAAAAGTTAGGACCATGGGTAAGATACTAATTTTGCTGCTTGAGAAATTAAGATTGGCCAATTAAGTAGGCTTCATTCAACTAACAATCTGTGATGTATAAAAATTATTGACATGCAGAAACATAGAGTTGGATTGTTCAACTAATAAAATGCAACAATATTTATTTGGAGAAATATATTAAAAATAATTGTTAATATCATAGAATGAAAATAGTATAATTTTTCTATAAAAAAACTAAGTAGGCAAGAGTCAGTTACAAGGCCATTGACAATCGAATCTGCAAACTTTGATATGTGCCTCTACCTTATAGATTAATTTTAAAATCTACATTGGCATGGATCTTATAAGTTGTAACAGAAAATTTATGCTTGTAAATAAGAATTTAAAATTGAAAAGTTTTATAAGTGGGAATGATTGCATTTCCATGATAAGAGGGTGAAGGCCGTTAACTAGTGTTAGTCTGTTAGTCTTGCCTACATGGGATGCTTGAGGAAGAGGGGTGGGGGGTGTGGAACTGGGGATATTTTGCACAAAATTTGAACCCATGTCCTCATCATGCTAGACTGAATTTTCATTGTTGCACCAAACAATGACCTCTAAAAGGATGGAAGGAACATTTTATGAATGAAAATGTATATTGTGAGGAGGCTTGATCAAACACAACTTCCATTGCTATTTTTTCTTCTTCTTTTTCTTTGTTCTGCTTTTCATTTACTTTTGCAATGGTACAAGCTCTGGTTATCACGTGTGAGGGCATCCAGCCATCCGCTTTGTGTTAATGATGTCAAAGGCAAGGTCAATACTTCGTTTATCCCTCCCTTTATTTGTAAAATAAATAAGTAAATACATGAGTATCAACAAATTACTTTAATTTTTGTCATCTGTAAAGACTCAGTTGGTCTAAAGAAATTAGACCAAGTATATGGGATTTTACCCCAGTGACCTATTGGTCTTGTACATTCTATGCTTAGTTTTGCCAAGGAGCCTTGGCCATTGTTGACATTAGTTTTGGTTTCATTTGTACATTCATTTGTCTTATGAAATGCATCTTTCAAGATTTAGGATAGAGTTTCAGTTAAGAACTTTCTCACCTCATTTATTTCTTCTTTTAGGAAGATCGTCTCCAGGTAACTTTCTAATTGAAACCAAAACTACTAAAGTTATATTATAGATCTTGTTTGTGCCTTGTTTTCAACTGCATAGTAACCTGAATGTCATGTTGCATTGGTTTACAAAATAAATCCCTGAATTTCTAAACATAGCTGCTTCTCTTGAAGGAAAGAGAAGCAATAGTAGAAAATTCAGGCTTGAAATCCTCTTCATCTTCCATATTCATCCCCATCTATTGAAAAAGTAAATGAATAGAAGAGAAGGAAAACACTGCAGAACAATGTCAACAAAATTTGAATTTTCTTTTTGTTAATTTGAAAATATCCCACGACAACCAACATTTAAATAATGTTAATCCCATCACATTTTGTAGCTATAAGTGGCCTATCTCATACATTGAGTACACTTCTTTTATTTATACGAATTCAACTCTATGTTAACTTGTCCGCTATATTGCCACATAACTTGCCATAAGATCCTTTGTTACTGGATGAAATTATACGGAAACTACTGGATCAGTCTATAGATGGACTATATCAATTGTATACGGAAACTTGTTTGCTCTATCAATTGACAATAGGTTAATGTAAGTTGATTTCAGTTTGCTCACAATAGGTTAATGTAAGTTGAGTTCAATTTCCTTACTGAGCACAGTTTAATGCAACACATGTTTGATTTGCAGAGCAATGTGAAAGGGACAAGGCCCGTGTTCTGGTGCATTGCATGTTAGGGAAAAACAAGTGAGTTCTGTTACACACTGAAATTACTGTTTTCTATACTTGGGTGAAAAGCAGAGGGATGTAGTACATGCATACATATGTGAATGCTTTCACACAACTCTATCAAGCCATCATAAGATACTCAAATATGGTATTATGGGATCACAAAATTATCTAATTAAAATAGTGAAATATTTTTGAAGAGCTTGATTTCACCATCTTTGCTTGCGGAGGCAAACAATTGGTTATAGAAAATGAATATTACTTCTAGATTTTTTTGTGAAGATTGCGAATTACTATGCAATCCCTTGTTTGTGAGAATTATTTTAATTACTTGAGGTCTTGTTCATGGGGATTATAGCTATGTTGTGTTGACAGATCGCCAGCTGTTGTGATAGCTTATCTGATGAAGAGCAAAGGTTGGAGACTTGCACAGAGTTACCAGTGGGTAAAAGAGAGGAGACCATCTGTTGAATTAACACAAGGTCTGTATATATGCTGTGTAATTCATTATTTTGATATTTTGATTGATGAAACCTCATTTGTTTGATAATATATAGATGACAAAGGTTTGAAAGTTACAGTGTTTGGGTTTCATTGGATAGAGAAAGAGGCCAGAGGAATGGAATGTTTTGGGGGGGGGGGGGGGGGGGGTGGTGGGGACTATAGTGGAGGTGAGGCAGTATTGTTGTTAAAAGTTGGTGGTTTTGGTGATTGTGGAGGTGGGTGGTAAAGGTGATCGGAATAAAGTTCTTTATTATCATTCTTAGATTGATAAAGTTCTTTCCATTGATGGCTTGTTGATTTCTAAAGTATATTATTAATTGAAAGTAATTTAAGCATTCAATTTCTCAGCTAGGTGTATATTTGACAAGAATCTGGATGATAAAAGATCCTGGACAATTTTATATCTATTCTTATTCTGGCACCCTTTTTTCTGGGGAAATAAGGAGAAATTGAATAACCCAATCAAATCGTCTTTATTTTGTAGAGATTGCATGTACTAATTGATTCTTGGTCTTGGTTCTCTTACTTCTGTATTTTGTGTGTAAGATGGAAAGTGGTTATACATCAAATCTGGCAATTGAATTAATAGCAAGCACAAACATCCTCCATCTCTGACATTCGGGCTTTTGTTTTATGAACTGTAGATGTCTACCAGCAGTTACAGGAGTATGAACAGAAGATCTTTGCCATGCCAGTCTTGCAGTCTACAGGTGTGCCATCTTTCAGCTTTGGCTTCCCAAAGCCTAACGATTCAGTTCCCATCCCTGCTTTTAACAGTATTGGTGCTACATCCATATTTGCCCGACCAACTTTGGACATGGGACATGAGTTTACTTTTGGAGCTGGGCAGAGTCAGAACAATAATACTTCTGAAGACCCTTTTGGGGCAAAACCATCAAATCCAAGTGGTAATGATATTTCCATGGATGGTTCTTGATTGCTTTACATCTTATTATTCCTTTGCGACATCATCAATCGTGGATCAGAAGTCAAATAGGTTCTAACATGGACAAGTTTTAATCTGAGTTTGGATGTAAAGTGAGAAGAAATGCTCAGACGTTTTTTTTTTGGTTTATGAGGTTTGATGTATCAATACACTATGGTGTTCGTGCCTTGAAACAGATGTTATTTAAGTGGAAGAATCTCATTGCTTAATACCATACAAGATTAATAAAGAAGTTTGTGGTTAATGTTTTCCTGAACTTTGGTACTTTTATAGGAATTGCAAGGATCTCATTGTTTGAAAACACTATTCAATTTATTTATTTATTTATTTATTCCCCCCCTGCATGTTTTTGTTTCGTTCCGTCATTCTTCAGTGTGCCGTGACAAAACATGGGAGGACTCAGCCAAATCTGAGTGAGGAGGGATCCTCCTATGGAGCGAGTAACATATTGAGTGAGACAGCATTAGAATTTTCTTTTTTTTTTTCTTTTTGTTTTTATAATCCAGAACTCCACCCTTCGGACCTTACCCTAAGGCACTAAACTGGGGATACTGCAGCTCAGCCCCATAGCCACAATACCGGATGAGTCGAAGTTCTAACAGGGGGCAATGAAGGCTCGAACCCGGACGAGTGAGTACCCAAGGCCAACACCTTACCATCACTGCTAGGCCCCGGGGGCAACTTGGGTTTTCTTTGATTTGTTCACACAGATCACAATTGTGTCAATTTCAGTGTTTTCTCTTCTGTTTATGTTGTTTCTGTGGAAGAATAATGAAACATCTTTTATTTTTCTCAAAGTATACACTTGGAATATTTAGTGGGAATGTTTTGTATATATATTGTGTGTGTGTGTATATATAGGCATTAATGATATCTGGTACACATGTGGTCCTGAAGAAAACCTAGACCGTGTTGATGGAAGGAAGGAAGGAGTTGCAGATGTATAGATGAGTACAAGATTCCTTGTAACAACTCTCCTCCTTTGGGGCTGCATGTCTGTGTCTTCAACTGGAAACCATTTATGTTTAGTCAATGACCAGTGGGTCCTACTTCTCCTCCAGAACCGGCTTGACCAACTGCAACTGTTTTCTTATGGTCTCTGTCTTCCTTGTTGAGGAATCATGTCGGAATTTTAATTGTTGTCATGTGGAGACGTCTTCCTCCTGCACTGCAAAACGTCCTGTTTTCTCGTTTACAATAAGTATTAACCAAAAGACAACAATACACAAACTTTATAATATACGATTGTATATGTATTAAAAAAATGTATAAGATCATAATGATTGGTTAGGGATAAACCAAAAGATCATTGGTTAAGTATTGTGATGACCACAAGTTAGGTCATTAATTGTTATCCCCATCTGACCACAATTTGCCAGGACAACCAAAAGATCATTGTTATGAATTTTCCACTTTATTATATATATATCTATATATATATATAGCACGAAAATAGATAACCATGTATGTGATAGGGTAAATCAAGATGAACAATTGAAAAATATTAATAGTCCCAAATTGTGGTGAGATGGGTTAGGTATTATGGTTCATGCAGGGTAAGGGGCACAAGGAGCGGTGGTGTTTCCAAATTCCAACCACATAAGGTGCATGCTTGACGTGTTTGGAGCACCTTGGCAATCAATTACTAACAACTACTACTTAATTAGAGCTTTGATGTGAATATCATCATTGTCAATTATATATATATATATATATATATATATATGGCAGGCAATGGTATTGTTATACTTAATCTCCTATAAAAATTTATCTTTTCGTAAAGTCAACTCCCGATCTAATGCTTTTGTAAGTAAAAAAATTAAATTAATTTACTGAATAACAATAGAAAACTTTCAATTAAAAATAGCGTTTATTCTAAAAATAAATCTAATAATATGTGGAGAGATATTTAAGTCTAATGGATTGAAAGGTACATTTCAGACAAAATAATTAATTAATAAGGAGTAAGTTGCAGCATATGAGTAGGACATGATTAATACATATCGATCTTAATTTCTTCACCTAGTTTTGTATCTAATTAAGATCATCCTTTTGTTTTAATCATGTGATGTGTCCTTCTCTTCTCTCTTTTTTGTTTTGACATATATTGTTGTGTTGTGTTCAACCTCCACCCAATTTAGAGGTGACATTCATCCATCCCATATACACATTAATGCTGCCTAAGTGCCTATATATCCACAGCTATGACTCGGACCTCAAACCTCTTAATTCATTCCAAAGCATCACAATTTATAAATTAGCTATATATACTTATATATAAAAACATTACATGATCTATTATTATTATTATTATTATATATTTTTTTTTTCACTTTGCTCTATTTTGTAATGTTCCTTGATCAATACGTTTAATTGAACTAATATCTACATTTTTGCTCTGTTTGTTTCGACGTAAAATATTTTCTTTGAAAAATATATATATATTTTTAGGTAAATTATTATTATTATTATTTTATTATTTTTTGGTATTTGGCAAATATTTAGGTCGAGGTTGAGGTCGAGGTTGATGTTGAGGTTGAGATCGAGTCTATCAAGTGGGGCATGTAAAATAATTTGTCGAAAATTGATGAATAAGATATTTTTGTTAGGTTTTAATATTTTTTTTCTTCGTAAATATTTTACAATAATCAAACAGTAGAAAACACAAAAAAAAAATTCAAAAAAAATTTTAACCTCAAACAAACGAAGCCTTGATCTTAGCCAAAAAAAAATAATAATTAATTTCCTGATTAAAAAAAAAAAAAAAAACAGTTTAATTAATCCAATACTTCTTAGTCTCTAGCACAACTTAGCTTAAATTTTTATTTTTATTTGTATTTCTTATCTATTTCTATGTCCTGAAGAAATTGAAGTTAAAACCATTTATTTCTCAATTGTGGTTGCTGTACCATCCTTCCATGTGCCAAAAAGTATGGCTTTGATTGTACTTAATTTCTAGTTTTTACTCACTTTAACGAATGCGTAAAGACAAATTTTGTGATGTAGATATATAATTTTATTTTATAAGGGAAGTAGAACATTTATTTTCTAGCTTTTATTAAAAGGTATATCTGTTGCAATATGTATATGTAATATTAAATATCGCATCCGTATTCAGTCATATAAATCAATTAAAAAAAAAAAAACAAAAGAAAAAAAAAAGAAGAAGCATATAGCGGATGACCAAACAAGGATTGACATATATGCACTCCAATCCCTAATATTATATAAGTAGATAATTTCCTATATTCTCTGGTAATGTCGGAAGGGGAGATTGGATCAAGACCGTTGATGTGGTTGACATCTGTCAACCGCGCAATTATATTTCCGTAAGTCTACGGCATAGACAGTATCTTCACGTATCTACATCCGATCAATAAGGTCCAAATTAATTGCTGACCATGATATATATATATATATATATATATCATGAATGGTCACTTTGAGTACGTATTAAATTATTAGTTTTATTATAGGCTTGAATAAACAAATAGTGTTCACCAAATCAAGGATATATGTATATATGAGTATATGCATAGCTTTGTTAAAATGATGTACTGTTGCGGGGGAAGACAAAGAGAAGAGGCACAAGGTGTGAAACAGTTTAGGGGTATTAATGGCCCACTTTTAGAAAAATTAAAAGCCCCTTTGAAAACAACATTAACGGGAAATGCTCGTCATCATCTTCTTGGGAACACCCTTCTTCTTCCCCTCTCTCTCTCTCTCTCTCTCTCTCTAGAACGTACCTTTTTAATATTTCTTCTAGCTCCTTAATTACAACCATCTCGTTTTTATTCATCTCTTTCTTCTTCTTCTTCTTCTTCTTTCATTATTGGTTAGAAAAACAATGAAGAAGAAAAAGAAATATGAGCTGGTTTGCATGATATTATATATACTACTTGTTGTTAGAACCTGTTTTGGCTCACGAAGTTTTGTTGATTGAAATCATGATATGATGAGATCATTCATATTCCATTCTGGGAATTAATATTATTCCTTCGACGAGTTGGTGTGGAAGCTGTTAATCGATGGTGAAGAATTCATCGGACAGACAAAAGGGTTTTAGTGGCGTACATGGTAAAGCCAGGCATTGTTCGATCTCTCTCTCTCTCTATCTTATTTTAATTTCTTGTTTAATTAATTATCATGTCATTTTAAATCTCTCTCTCTCTCTGGACTTGGTTCTGTATATGGGGTTTGCAAACAGTGAGTGATAAATAGTTGCAAGCAATATTTGTAAAACTGATCTTTAAGAACTATGAAGCAGATTCGTTGAAATGAAATAAGATCTGGCTGTTTTTTAATTCCTCTGCTCTCTTCTTATTCCATCTTCTCTCTTCTTCAATTAATTTTGTCTGCCTATATGCATGTGTATATATATATATATTCACAAATTTGAGCATTATTCATATTAATATTAATTACAATCTTAAACTGCTTACTAGTTTCTCAACAAATTGTACATGTTAAAACGAAAAAGGTGCTAGAAAACAACAATATATATATATATATATATATATATATATATATGTATATATATAATTAATTAACTAGGGATATAAAAGCTAGAGGAGAAAAGAAAAAAATAAAAGGATTCTTATTGAACGTACAATATGGATAATTGATTTTTTTTTTTTAATTACTAAATGTGTTATTAAGAAATTAGAAATTATTTGCAAGCTTGATGTGGTTGTCCCAAAAAAAAAAAATGGTTGGTGTAATGGCTTTTCAGCTGCAGATTTAAAACATATTTGGTCCATGTCTTAAGCGGAGTCACTTTCATGGGTTTAATACCCTTACCCACTATTATTTCATTAATTAAACGTTTCTATATGGGTGTGTAATGTGGATGGAATCAAACAGTTTGTGTATTATTAACAAATTAATTAAACATTCCTGGTTTAATTACATGATTTGTATTAATTATTTTGGTGCTACCCTTAAGAGGAAGGTAAAGGGTGCCTGCATCTGCATCTAACCCATATATGATATTGACCTCTAAATTGTGATGCCCTAACTGCAACAATGCCTCTCTTCTGACACATTCTATAATCAATAATTCTTTATTCTTTACAGTAGGATGGACAATATATCCATATAAGATGTGACTGATTTAACTATCTCATATGTTACGAAGAGGATAACAGATATATATAATAGACTCTAAATGAAATAAGGAAATGGTAGAAAGCTGAATCATTAGCATTACTATTACAATGTTGCTCATCAACTAAAAAAATTTTAAAATAAGGATAT